CTTCAAAGTTCTTTGCAACTTTCCCTCACGGTACTTGTTTGCTATCGGTCTCGTGGCCGTATTTAGGGCAACGTCATGCTCTCGTGCTGAACATTCAGAATTTAACACTGCCAGTGAGAAAATGAACTTCCCCATAATTCGATCATTCCTCGGGCTGTAACCGCTATCTGCATGTGCCAGGAAAACGAACCTACCATCATACTGCTTCTAAATGACTCTCAAAAAAAGATATCCGTCGGTAGCCTTGCTAGTAATTGGTTGTTGCTAGCATGTGCCGCCAGGGTCATTCCCAAGTGCTTTTACCTTTTATAGGAAGCTAACACGGTGTCGTGAATGGAGCCCATTCTCAAAAGTAGTTCTGGACCAGGAGAGAATCGAACCAGGCCTCTTCACGTGCGGACGCCATGTGTTACCACTACACCACCGGTCCTTGTGCTTCTGGTTCAGCCTGGCAGCACATTTACTGTGTATCTGCTTTTCATGACAAGACACACCTTTCTTTTCTTCTCCTTTTTCTTTATGGCGGTTTCCTGACCAGTTTTTCGCAGGTTTTCCGCGACATGGTAAGAGCCTTGTCTTTTTTTTTAAATTGGCAGTACGGGGAGACGGAGGAGTGTGGCCAGGCGGTGGCAGGGAGACGAAAGATCGAAGAAGGCGCGGGGAAAAGGCAGATAAGAATGTTCCGAAAAATTACCTTATTTCTGGAACTTTCTCCTCATCTAGCGTTCGCTGATTGACAAAATTTGCAGTTATTCCAATCGCTAATTTACCACGCATTTCACGCTTTGGAAAACCTGGAAAAAAAACCCATTGACGCATATTACTATCAGTACAGAGAACTCTGGAAATTTGTCCAAAAAGAAATTAAAAAATGATCAGATATGATAAATGAGATTTTTTATGAAATGAATGAGATAAATAATGAGATAAATTAGACAAAAACTGAAATGGAATAATAAGACAAATTTTCTCAAATAAATTATTATCATTAACCTGGTATGGTGTTTCGTTTCCCATCTGCGCCAATCAGTGCATCAAATACAAAATCCGAGAGCACATGCCCAGAAGGACTGAATTCGGCACGCCATCCTTTCACTAAAAATTCAGATATATTCACTTACATGCCCAGTAATAAATAGTCACGCAAAGAAAAAACCGGTTTTCAACCAAATCTCTTCTTACCTTTGCCATTTTCGTCCGGTTTTGGAAAAATAAGACGTTGGAAAGAGACGGAATCATGAATCTGAACGCCCAGTACCAGTGCAATTTTGACCAGGAATATTTGTAATTGACGGATACCTGCGAAAAATAAACATTCACCGTTTGTTCCATTTATGACGCCTCATTCACCACCTTATTACCTTATTTTAGCTTTAAAATGTCACAATATTAAAATAAAACTATTAATTTGTTTTAATTAATATTCTATTCTTACTTAGCTAAAGTAATAAAACGATTAAATTCGGGTTCACTATAAAAGTGATAAAACGATTAAATAAGGAGAAAAGAGCTGTGATTAGCAACCGGAAAAAACTGCGAATTTTGCAAATCGAAAAATACTTTTTAGTGATGATTCTCTCCACGTGTTTTTGACTTACACCTTTTTAAAATCGCAATATATTGATAACAATTATAACAATAATAATAATAACCATAGTAGCAATGACAATGGTTATTAGGGTCAAAGAGAACATGTGAGAAAAAACGATGAAAAGCATGTAAGGAATTATTAAAGTAGGTAAGAAATATTTCGGTCCATTAAGTCGTATACATTTCTTACCTCTACCACAACTGGACCTATAATAGTAACAATAGTATTAATAATAATATAGAATAGCAATATAACATTAGTAATAAGACAGAACTCTGAGAATATTGAATGATCATAGTAACAATCACAATAATAGTATGTAATTAATAAAAAAGCAGAAAATGATTAAACTGATGAAAAACTGTCGGTAGAATACGATGAACTAACTGATGTGATCGATACTTCCGGGACAAAATCGCGGATAAAACGTTTTGATGCCGAGATTCTTGAGATCCTGGATAACGAATGGCCAAATATGAAGGACATTATTGCGCGAAAAACAATCCCGCTGCTCCACCAGAACAACATATGCGCCCAGTAAAGCGCATTCAATCGCCGAACGCAGACCGCACGGCCCTTAAAAGGCACAATCTGAGGAT